AACTCTGAGCAACAAGCTGACAATGAGCCCGTCAGTGAAATACAACAGGTTCAGACACAGCAGAGTAGTTCTGAGAAAGCAGCAGCAGATCTTCCTCAATCTGAAAAAGAGATATCAAATACAGATCAATCAGTTCAGAGGGAGCCTGTTAGTGAAATGCAGGTTCAGAAACAACAGAGTAGCTGTGACAAAGTAGAAGCAGATCATCCTGACACAGAGATATCTAAAGTTGAGTTACAAGCACAGAAGGAATTTATTGATGAAGTCCCAGAAATGATACAAGAAAATAAACTGGAGAATACAGTAAAGAGTCTTCCTTTTGCTATTGAAATTGAGACAGAAAATGCATCAACTGGTGCAATTTTAGACAAAACAGCAGCTTCCCCTGAAAAAGAATCAGAGCCAAAACCTGAGATCAACCAAAATGAGGATACAGCTTCCCTGAAAGAAAATGAGAAATTGGAGCAGACTCCCGAAAAGCCTCCAGAAGCAACAAGTCTAGTTGAGCAAGCACGTCCCTTGATTCCTGAAGCGACCACACAGGAAACTTCAGTTCCTGAAGTTGCTGTTCAGTCAGATTCTACATCTACAGATGTGAAAGAGGAAAGTGTTACAAAAGCCTCAGCCTCTGTAGACACACAAAAACCTGAGACAACAAACAGCACAGACAAATTTGTGAATAATAGTGTAACACCGGATGTTACAAATAATGAAAGTAAGGATGTAGATCCTGCATCCCTTTCAAATGAAGCTGATGTCCCTAAACATGACAAAACGCAGCAAGAAACCAAAGCAGAACAGGCAAATTATTTAGAATCTGAATCAGTTAAACTGTCTACCTTAACTGCAACTGAAGAGAGTCAGGGAAGTGAAATGGAAAACAAACTTGCAGACAAAGAAAAGGAACCTCCTGCAGATCAAGAGGGAAATAGCCATCTTCCCATTGCTCCATTTAAAGAAGAAATAAAATCTCCTGAGAAAACACTTGAAGAGAATACTATTGAAAATAAAGAATCACAGAAAATGATTAATGACCAGGAAACATTTAAGGTGAAAATACACAAAGAAGGTGATGAGAAACCATCAGTGGAGATGAAAATAGAAAGGGCAGAAGGGATAAAAGCTGATGTAACTAAAGTTTCAGCACAGAAGTCAATTGAACAGATAACAAATGATAAGACAGATGATCAAAAGCCTGTGGAGGATGAGATTAAGGACATAGATTTATGTCCAGCAGTCAACAGTACTTTGACAGAAAATAATTGTGTTCTAAAAGAGAAGAATGAATCAGAATTGAATGGAGAGCCAACTCTGGCTGAATGTACAAAAGAACAGTTGAGTAAAGAAGTAAAACCAGAGACAAAGTCTGTACCAACTGGAGAAAGCCTTGTTGAGATGGTATTATTTTCAGAGAAGTCTGACGAGAAAGAAGAGTCTCAGACCAGAGCAGAGGATGTATCACTGAAAGAAGAGAAGCAGACACTTCAGGACACTGTGTTAAAGCCAAATGAAAAATCTGACAAAGTAGAGGTTATCCTGGATCCCCCACCTCCCAAATATGAAGTGCAAGAAAAGGCCAGTGTTGAAGTGCCCGGGCAAAGTGTAGAATTGGTGTCATCCTCGGCTGTTACAAGTCAGACTAAAGCCACAGACTGTGAGGAGAAACTCTTGCAGGATAAGACTGAGGCTGTTTCACATATAGAGCAAAGTGCTGCTGAAAATAAAAATGATGACAAAGTCGTTGAGTTGTCAATCAAAGAAAAGGAAGCAGAAGATGCCAAGACAGAACATGAATCACAACCTGTTGCTGGTAAAACGAAAGAAACTATTTCAGTGTCTAAAGCGAGTGCAGAGACTGACAAAGATGACAGTACAGTATTTGATGTAGGAGGGGGAGCAATGCCAAAGAAAGATGAGGCATCAGAGAATGTGTGTGAGCCAGTAGCTTCAGTCCCTATAGCAGAACCTGTAAACCAGTCTGATGTTAGTGATGAAATTCCAAAGGAGAACAGAGAGGAGAAGGTGGAGGCAGAAGCTAAGCCTCTGGAAAAGCACAGTGATGAAGACGCTGTCTCTGAGGTGACCATAGTGTGTAGCAGACGTAGCAGAAGATGTTTTTCTTTTATGATTTGCTTTGTCTTGTCTTTGCTGAATTTTATGCTAAAAGACTGAACACGACAAACACAACAACTATATGCATCACATCAATGAGAAGAGTTCATATGTAATAACTTCATAGCAAACCTAATGGATCTCATATACGCCATAATAGTTATGCCAAATAATTATTGAGTTTTACTAAATATAGCTTTTCTCTAATGGTAATTTTTGCCATCACAGAATTTCATGAGCAACTATGTGTGATACTGGAAAACTGTTCTGTTTATATTGTAAACTGAATTGTGTCTTAAAAATATTTTTTCTGTTCATTCATCAGGTTAAAACAGTGGAGAAGTTAAAGGAGCCTGAAATTAAAGAAGCAGTGGCCAAGGAGAGCAGTCCCACCAGTCCCTCAGACCTAGCAAAGCTTGAGAGCACTGTTCTTCCCATCCTCAAGGCTCAGGAAAGCACACATGAGGAGGAAAAAGACACCAACACTTTCAAGACAAGACGCAAACTGGAAGTTCTTCCTCTCTCACCAGACTCTCCCAGTTCAGAGGAGGACAAAGAACTTCCTGAGAAGAACACCAATGGTGTTTCAAAGAAAAAGCTCCTTGTGCCCATGGATGTCAGAGCAGATTCTCTAGATGAGAGCAGTGAAAGCTTTGGAAAAGAAAGCCCTATGTCAGGAGATGATGAGGAATTTATTAGAAAGCAGATCATTGAAATGAGTGAGAATGAGGATGCTTCCCCATCTGATGAAGAAAATCTAGTCAGACGAAAGATCAGAGAGCAGGAGAAGAAACAAATGGAACAGAAGAAAACAGAGACTGTAGAGAAGAGCATGTCAGGAAAAGTCAGACGCCTCACCAAGAAAACCACAATAAGTCCAGATGATGATGATAATGAACTCATCTTTCCATTGAATAAACCTGATCTAGATAAAGAGAAAGAGCAAGACATAAAAGAAGACAATCAGAGTGGTACTGCCGTTCGGAAATTCCAATCCATGGAGTTGAATGCAACCAGCAGCCCCATGCTTATTCCTAATGCTGATGGAGAGCCTGAGATGGAAAGTCTCACAGACTCTCCAGATGATCGGTCAAAAGGTGAGGGTTCATCAAGTCTTCATGCATCCAGTTTCACTCCTGGAACGTCCCCAACATCTCTCTCATCCCTGGATGAAGATAGTGACAGCAGTAGTCCGGGTCATGTCCGTACTAGTGAGGGAAAACAACACAGGAAAGCCAAACACCGGCAGACTGGTCAAATGTTGCCAACTATTGAAGACTCATCAGAGGAAGAAGAGTTACGGGAGGAGGAAGAACTGCTGAGAGAGCAAGAAAAGCAGAAAGGCTCTGGAAAAAAATCTAAGAAAGACAAAGACGAGATTCGAGCTCAGAGGAGGCGAGATAACACAAAGACGCCTCCGAGTAACCTTTCTCCAATTGAAGATGCCTCACCAACTGAAGAACAGAGGCAGGAGGCTGAAATGGAAGAGATTAGACGATCATCCTGTTCCGATTTTTCCCCAAGTATTGAATCAGATCCTGAAGGTTTTGAAATCCATGCCGAAAAAATAGCAGAAGTCCAGAAATCATATAAACTACCCACATCAGTATCTCTTTACTCCCCAACAGATGATCAGAACATTGATAAACTTCAGAAGAAAACTCTAAAATCTGCTGATGAAGCTTATGAAGAAATAATACTGAGGGCTAAGTCTCCAACAGGTGAAAAAGGCGAGATTCTACCAGGAAAAGAGTCTGTTTATGGAGGCATACTGATTGAGGACTATGCCTATTCATCCATTACTGATAATTCAACTGCTGATATGGAAGAGTCAGAGAAAATATCTCTACCTGCTCATCCTAAGAAGCTGAGATCACCTGATGAAGTATATGAAGACATGATAAAAAAGAGAAAAGAATTCATGCAATTGGAGGAGGAATACCAAAATATGCAGCCAAATAATGAAACCACAAACCCAGAAATTGTGTTACAACCTGCTGAGAACACATTTTCCAAAAGCTGTACTACAACCTTCGGCAAAGATGGGAAACCATTGTTAGATGCCGAGACTGCCTATGAGGAACTAATGAAAAGAGTCCTGACTCCTGGAACGAGTCCAACTCAGCTTGAGCCAGAGTTGGATTCTTCTCCATCAAGGACGGCACTTCGCCCCATTCCAGACTTGAAAGTCACACAGTGCTCTTCCGGAGAATTGTCTTCTGATGATGAAAGTATCATTAGAAGAGACGATGAGGATGCTGCAGAATCAAATACGCCACCAGTGTCAAAAACTGATCCCACAAAAGAGGTTTCTGAGTCTTTGCCATCATCCACATCAGAGCAGGAACCTGAAACTACAGTCACAGCATCTCAGGCTAATGTTATGGATTTATCTAGTACTTTACCAAGAGCATCAGTCCCTGTGATATCACCCTTACCCACAGTCCCCCAGTATACACCCAGTACACCCAGTGTTGTGTCAACTGCCCCACCAGTTCCCCCTAAGCCAAATGTCCTGCGCAGGACAGGTTCTCAGGAACAAGCTGAAGAACCTGTTGCACCATCCCTGCCTCCTCCCACCCCGCCAAAACCTACTGTTTTTCCCAGGAAAGCACCTGTTCCACTTCCACCTCAAGCTACAGCAACTCCAGCCAGACCAGAGCCAGTAGCTATGACTACATCTGAAGGGCCACCTATGAAACAAGCAGTTACTCCAACATACAAACCTCATGTTCCTCCTCCTGTTCCCCCAAAGCCAGCCTTTCCAACTGGAGATATTTCTAGACCAGCACATGCTGTCAAACCACCAATTGCACCAAAGCCTGGGTCACAGCCACCCTCACCCGCTCATGCTCCACATCCACCAAGACCCACTGCATTGCCCACTGGTCCCAGTGATACAGTCCTCAATCTGAGCCCCTCTACTGAGAGCAAGTCATTTCAACACTCACCTTCTTCTCCAAGATATGCCAGCAATCTTCGTGATACATATGTAGTAATCACACTGCCTTCCCAGCCTAGCTCTCCAGTTGACAACATAACCACTCAAGCTCCCTCCAGTCCTGGACCTGCATCCCCCTCGCGACAAGCTCAGCCTGAGAATTATAATCAACCACATCCTCAACCTCAATCTTATTCACGACATCATCAACAACAAACTCCTCAAACAACCAGGGTACCTCTGGCATACACACGCTTCACAGAATCTATTGAAAGTAAAGAGATTTGTAGCCCAGAAAAACATGTATCTAGTTCTTGTCACATAATTGAAGCTATATCAGCCTCTGCACAGCCACCTGTAGTAATGCCTAATCTCATCTCTCAAGTAGTCACTACAGAAGTTCAAAGAACCACCGTCTCTGTTGTTCATGAAAGGACACCACCACCAGTACCAGCTCCAAGGGCGAATGGTGTTCCAATCTCGATGGAGAAACCTAAGCCTCAGTTGTCAGCACAGAATGGACAGTCGTTTCAGCCCTCTGAGGTAGTAGATCTTAGGACTGTGAAAGTGGATCCAGAATCAAATAGGAATGGTGTTGATCTGTCTTCTGGCACAGAGTCAAGACGTCAGTCCTTTGTTGGTGAAATCAGTCGTCACAGCACTGCGGTGCAGTCACCTGTGGTCAACCTCAGTGCCGAGTCATCCACTGTTTCTATAGTGACAGATAGCATCACCATTGTGACCTGTGCTGCAACAATCCAGAGATGTGACAACGTAGATGTGTCTCAGGCGTCATCAGTGCCCCTTCAGCTAACCAAAAACAAGGCATTTGAACCTGTTTCTCAAATTGTCTATCGCCCAGTTGATTATCAGACGCCCACACTTGCTAATACAGAGATCCCAATTAACCTCTCAGTTAGCTCAAGCACAGGTGGAGGGACTTTTCAAGCCACCCCTGTCACAGTTGCCCCCACTTCAGTGGCAAACTGTGCTGCCAACGGATTAACTACTGGTACAACCACAGTGGCAGGAGCTGTTGATCTCAGCACAACAAAACCTTTCAATACCATGGTATCAGTAGATTCTACATCTGCAGAAGTGATTACGGCTATGATAACTGATGATGGCAAACCAGTGGATCTGACAGCTAGTAAAAGAGCTGTGTGCTGCGACGTTGTATACAAGCTCCCGTTTGCAGGAAGTTGCACTCAGCAACCCACAACACCCTTGCCAGAAGATCGCTTTGGATATCGTGATGATCATTACCAGTTTGACCGACCTTACGGAATGAGAGGGTTTGGTGGAATTAAACCATCAATGTCAGATACAAACCTTGCAGAAGCTGGTCTGTTTATGTACAAGAGTAAGAACAGCTATGATTTCAATGTCACAACAGAGGGTGCAGTAGATCTTACCTCAGCAAAGATTTCTGATGCAGGTCAGTGCAGCGACATTGCAGACCTGTCTCTCAAATGTCACTTTGAGTTGCCTCGACTCATTCACGGCTAATGTGGCATCTTTATCATTTTTTTCCTTTTAATGGTTTTGCATGGAGTTTTTCTTTTTCTTTGACCATAACATTTTTTGCATGAGCTTGCATGCTGCTGCTTATTTCACCTTATTTTGGATTTTTTAATGCACTTTTTTCTAATTTGCATAAGGCATGGCTTGGTTCATAATCACACAAGTCTGCGAAATTGGGACTTAACTCATATTTTTTTTACTTTTGACAGGTGAAGCTGTCGATTACTCCAAGAAGGGAGCATACACAGGAATGACAATTCCACCCTTTTCACAAGCCAGAGCTACAAATGTTGTCAACACACTCTTCGGCACAAGCAGTGTTCTGAGGTCATCAAATGGAGTTGTTTATTCTTCTGTTGCAGCACCAATCCCATCTACATATGCTATTACTACTCAGCCTGGATCTATATTTAGCACAACATATAACACATTGTCAGGTATGCACACAAGTGACACCATGCCATCCCTGTCAAACATCCAGAATTTGCCACTTACACGGTCCCAAAGCTTTCTGTCCACCATTTCCACAACTACAGCAGAAGAACAGGTGGATGCTCCGCTCAATCTGGAAATCTCTAGAGGAGGCACTACTGCTGTTGATGCAACCACTACATCCATAACATCTTTATCTCTCGACACCTACACTGATGCATCCCTAGAGGCTATAGCTGCTTCACTGGAAGCTCTGTCTTCACCTATGGTACCTGGAGATGGCCAGTACCTGGCAGAGCGCGAGAGGTTAGAAATGGAAAAACTCAAGCAGCAACGTCTGGCTGAAGAATTAGAGTGGGAGCGGCTGGAGATCCAACGATTCCGTGAACAAGAACAGCTCTTGGTACAGAAGGAATTGGAGGAGTTGCAAGTCATGAAACAACAGATACTGACACAGCAAGAGGAGGAAAGACAAGCTCACCTTATGATGCAAAAAGAAACCTATGCCCAGCAACAGCAGCAGCTTGAGCAGATTCAGAAACTCCAAGAACAGTTGCGCATACAGTTGGAAGAGCAAAAGCTGCGTCAGATGTACCCTGGTGGGGATATGCTGGGGCGTGGCTTGCAGGAGGCAGTTGTTTTGGGGCCTGACGGCACAGTGCTCTCTCGAAAAATTACTGATAGTGGTTGTCAGACAGATGAAGAAGATGAAGCAGTCAGCAAGGCTTACACAGCAGGGCGTAAAAAGAGAAGTGCAAAAAAGAGTGTAGATAGTTGTGTGCAGACAGATGATGAAGATCAGGAAGAATGGGAGGTTCAGCCTAGAAGTCGACAAAGCCGTCCTCGTACTTCCCGGGGTGATAGGGGTGGACAGTCAGAGATGTCTCTTCAAGCCCACACTGAAATTTCTATTCAAACTGACTCAGAAGGAAATATTTGCTTGGACTCCAGGATGGAATTGTCTGAATCAGAGAGAACATCACCAAAGAAACGACTGACTCCCTTAGAAATAGGCCAGTCTACTAACCTTAAACCTGATTCTTCTACCCTTCAAGCCCCTCCTAAATCCCCCAAAGTACTCTATTCTCCCATAAGCCCTTGTATATCACCTAGCAAATCACTTGAGTTTGTGTCCTATGAGAAGTCATTAGGGGACACAAGCCCACAAAAGCTAAGAGGAAATACAGACCCATCAAAAGCATCTCCAGCAAGCCCCAGAGGACCAAAACCCATGCAGCGATCCATGTCTGATCCTAAGCCCATGAGCCCAACTGGAGAAGAAAGAGTAACATCCGGCACCCAGTATGGTGATGGTCACACTGTGAGTACTGTTTTTACATGTAGTTTGTCAATTTATTAAATTTTTAAAAATGTGCAAAAAAATAAATAAAATGGTTTTATTTTACAGAGGATGAGATTCAATTGGTGTTCAGTGTAGTTTCAGGTTAAACATAAATGCAGATCATTTAAAGGTTTTATTGAAAAACACATTTGCATTTGCAAAACATTTTTTTGATAAAATACTGTGGGATCTGGAAGCTCCTTTTTTGACAGGGTAATTCACCACTGAGAATCTCATGCATATATAAACAGATGGAAAATTTGGCTGATCTTGCAGGAGATGTATAAACCCTGAGAGACCCATAGATTAACTTTACTCAGTGCAAGTTCACAATCGGTGACTTTTGTGGCAAAATTAAGAAAAAATAAGCAAGAAATGAAAAAAAGTTATGCTACATATATACGTACATTGATAAATACATTTAACGCTGCAGACAATCCAGAAAACATAGAAAAGCATTCCATGGGGCATGTGATTTTTTTTTTTACTAAAGACTAAATCATTAGTTTAATCTGCAGAGATTTAAATGTTTGAATTTCTTATGATTTGATTTTAAATTTTCCATAGGGGAAGGGATCAGGAGGCACACCAACAGGCACTCAGAAGAAGGTGAAAAGGACTCTACCTAACCCTCCATCAGAGGAAGAGTCAACAACCAGTGGTCAGACAGCACACACCACTGGCTCTGCTCGCCGAAGAATGTGCCGCAACTCCAACATGGCACGTGCCAAGATTCTACAGGACATCGATCGTGAGCTTAATCTGGTGGAGCGGGAATCTTCCAAGCTTCGCAAAAGACAAGCAGAATTAGATGAAGAAGAGAAGGAGATTGACGCTAAGCTTAGGTATTTAGAAATGGGAATCAATCGTAGGAAAGATGCTCTATTGAAGGAGAGAGAGAAAAGGGAACGGGCCTACCTACAGAGTGTTGCAGAGGACAGAGACTACATGTCAGACAGTGAAGTTAGTAATATTCGAGAAACGAGAAGTGGACATGGTGCTGGTGAAGATGAGGAAATCGAGGGTCATGGTCTTGAACGTCCCAGGACAGCACCTCAGTCAGAACTCGACGACTTTGTCCCACCTCAAACAAAGCATGAGTTTGGAAAATACTCTCAGTACCCATACTCCCAAAGCCAATACCAACAATCAATCTACCAGGCTCCACAAACCTACCAGTCACATTCTATTTACTCATCCGTTCCGTCACTCACTAGTGCCCAACAGCAGAGTTACCACCAGATGCTTTTGTTGCAACAGAAAGCTGCTAGACAAGCAGCCCTACTCTCAGAACTTGATGCAACAAAATATGACGTCATTAGTCGTCAGCCTGATCCCACTTCATCAGCTTACCTTGGTGTCAAGTATGACAAATATGGCAACCACCTTGACCTCAGGGCCTTGGACGTGGGAAGCATAGCAGGTAGCCCAATGTCTTCTGTCTCTGATTCCTACTACACTGATGTAGACCATCATACTCCTCGAAGTTACATGCTGCTGGAAGATGCTGCAGAGCTAACAAAGACCTCCACAGGTCTTTCTTCATCTTATAGTTTGGCTGAGAGGGAGCTGGCAAAGGCAGAGAAGCTGTTGCGTAGAAGTGCTGCAGATCTGGGGTCTACAGACTATCTGGGATCAACCTCCAGGCTCCATACTTTTGGAAAGACTCCTGATGAAGAGGATACCATGGAGGAACCATATGAGCTGAAACTTTTGAAACAGCAGCTCAAACAAGAATTTAGGAGAAGTACAGGTGGGACAGAAAACTTAGAACAACTGACAGGTCTGTCCCAGCACTACTACACCCCAAGCACAGGCATCTCTGGTTACTCCCAACGACAATATCCTAAGTCAGATAAGTACAGTATCAGCCGACTTACACTTGAGAAGCAGGCAGCTAAACAACTCCCAGCATCAATGTTGTACCAGAAACACAAGACCCCAATAATAGATCCTAAAATTTCCTCAAAGTATTCTTCTATTTCAGACACCAGAGGTTTGGATACTGATTACACCAGCTATATAGGTTCTACCAGTGCATCCCCTAGATCTAGTAGACTCATGCAAGATGAGATTACATTTGGACTTCGTAAGAATATTGCAGAGCAGCAGAAATACCTCGGATCTACTTTAGGGGCTAACTTAGCTGGATCACTAAATTTGGGCCAAAGCTTGGGTTTGGACTCTGCTTATCCTAGTGGTAGTCGCTCAAGACCCTCATCAAGACCCACATCTTGCTATGGTCTGGACTTGTCCATCAAAAGGGATCCTTCGAGCTCATCTCTGAGGCTTAAAGGAGATGGTGAAGCATCTGGGGATGGTACAAGTTATCAAACCCCGTCTGGTCGCACAAAACCCACCAGCCTTCCTATTGTGCAAAGTGGCCGTGGTCGAATACCTATAGTGGCCCAAAACTCGGAGGAGGAGAGTCCATTGAGTCCTGTTGGGCAGCCTATGGGTATGGCTCGGGCGTCAGCAGGACCTCTGCCCCCCATCTCAGCTGACTCAAGGGACCAGTTTGGTTCCTGCCTGTCCTTGCAGGACTCCCAACAACAGCAACACATCAGGGAAGAGCCAACCAGGGGTAGGGGTTATGTACTGCTGGATGATCTTCAGGGCACAATGTCAGATAGTGAAGGTAAAAAACAGAGTTGTTATACAACCACTGCTTTCCTTTTTCAATGTTTAATCACAAAGACCTTTTCTGGTTTGCCTTGTGTGCATGCAATATTTGTGTGGCTAGATCAGGCCTGGGTTTCATTTAAAGTCTGCATGCATCTAATGGAATTTTGGTGTTGTGAACTTTGTGTATGTGTAAATGTGAATTTTTGTGTAAGTTGTTTCAGTCAGTCCGTTGAAATCTGGTCTGCATGTATATATATGTTTTTGTGTTCATTAAGTCACAAATACTTGAATGTTGATTGGATTGTGTTTCTATATACATTCAAGATATTGTAACATTTGATACTGCATGACACCGCATAGTCTAACCTTTGTTCCAGTTGACGTGTATGTTACAAAGGGCAAATGCCCTATAGAACAGTAGTTTACTTGTAATTATCTGCATTTCATTACAAGCATTATGCCATCTGTAGCTGTCAAGAAGAAGACTTTCAAGCTTTTAAAACCTGATTCTTAATTGTATGATATTTAGGCCACATAAACAGAATAACTGCCGTTATGAAATTTGAGATTTCAACAACATTCCCCACAAGTGATCCCCACATTGAAAAGTGCCTCTACTACATGTATAATTTGCATAATTGTTCAATAATTTGAGTTATTTCAGAAGTTTCACAATTCTAAAAATATCTAAAAAGCTCTGTGCTTTATTTTTTTATCACACAGTGAAATATACAATTGATATATTTCATTTATGTTATGTAATGTGAATTAGATACAGATGTATTAAAGATCACATTTTAAGTTTGACTTTAATTTCTGGACTTAGTGTAGTGTAAAACAGCTAGAAGGCTCAAAGCATTATCTCAGTGTGAAATTTAGAAAATAACCGCATTGAAGCCCCATGTTGTTAGAGCATATGGATCTTGAGTATTTTGTTTGAAATGCATGATAATTCAGGGCATTATTGCATGTGTAATAAAAGTTAATCTTGCATGTCTCTTCTTAAAAAGTTGTGTTTCAGTGTAATGTCAGTGACTTTCTTGTGCTTGAAGTGAGTAGATGCAATTTCTCTTTGAAAAGAAACTACTGTTTTAATTTAGATACATTTCCTAAATATAAGCCTAATGATTTATTACATATCTTTTAACTTTTACAATTTTGGTAATATTCCATTCTAAACATAATTTTCAAATAATGCAAGACATGAAAGTCAAGCATCATTTATTGATTTAATTATTCAATTTGCATTACAGAAGGAAAATACACACCCATAAGTTATGGTTTAAGCAAATAAACTAAATTATTTTACATTGACAGATGCCCTATTTGGTAGTATGAAATAAAGTGATCTTAACTGCACCAGCGTTTAATTGGTGCATCCTTTGGTCACGCTCCACCTCTCTATCAAGCCTTTTGGAAAGCAGGCAGATTATTCTACTGTTAAAAAGCATTATAGTAAAATAATTTAGGACCTTTGATTTGCATTTTAGCAGATTGGCCTTATACTAAAAGGAATGACATAGTATCTTACTGAAAAAAACTTGCTTAGTTTGATCCACCATTGTACATCCATGTGTGGCTTTTTGATCTAGGAAATGGTTTGAAAAGTTGCTAAATCAAATGTCTACATCACATTGTTCTCTTATACAGTATATTCAGTAATTTTTCAATTCAGATATTCAGTATTTTCAGAATTCAGAATGAACATGCATTTGTTTATTAATTGGTTTAAACGTTTAAACATGCCAATATTAATATTTTTGAAATTTAAACCCGTGTGCCTTGATTCCAGCCCTAAGCGATTCCCTGATGGCTTTGAACAGAGATGATCCAAACAATGGTAGAGTATTAGTTTAGTTTTCTAGCTATCCATCAGCTAATATGCAACCTCCACCACAGATTAGATGCACCTCACAGATCATAAATGTTGGGCACATTAAAGAGATTGACAAAAAAAAATAAAATCACTTGGATTTTGTAAAAAACATTCAGATTACTTTGATACGAATTTTCGTGAATATATGAGAACAGACTACATCAAATTTCAAAGTAACTGGATGTTACTGATTATCCAACATTTACATACCTGCAGCATCTTTGCATGATAGGTTAAGATTATGCATACACAGTTTTGAACACATAATAAATCTTGTTTACTCACCCTCAAACTGCATTATCCTTGTCATGATGTATCAATGAAAAAAATGTCCGATCCCTGTGTTGTTCTCTATATCTTATCCCAATCACTAATCACTAGTTTTCACTTTTGACAACAGAATTATACTCATAGGCATGTACTCACCTTTAAATCACCCACAATCCATAATCTATTGTTGGATACCAATGTCCACACTATTAGACTGGTTTTAAAGTAGTCCTTGTTTTTTTATTCCTGAAGCTTACCACCTTAGACGAGAAGAGACTGACTGGTTTGACAAACCAAGAGATGGACGGCCAGAGAATGGACAGGAGAGCAGACAGGTGAAATATTGCTAAGAAAGGAGGAAAATGCACCAATACAGTATTTAGTAAACATCTCAGATGTTTCAGGAGTGACTAGATTAATGCTCTCTCATTTAATAAAGCAGATATTCAAGTACTATAAACACATATTATCACAGGGTGAATAACATCTTGTTGTTGTGTATGGATCATAGGGAAAAGGTCCATATTACCCATTCCCGCACCTCAGGGTCAAACTGCGGAGGGATCCCAAAGACCGCAGTGTCTCAGGTAAAGTACCAGAGGTTTTACTTTGGTTGAATTCAGTAGCAACTAAAATGCAATTGCGTGCAAGACAAGGGGAATATATGCACATATTGTAAGGAGGGAAAATATATAAAAATCTTATAATCCATGAGCATGACTTATATTTCTTTTGTTTTACTTAAATACTAATGGCATATCACACCCTTTCTCTAAACTCAGAGCAGGCAGTCATTTTGTTTTGCCTCTCTCCACGCTCATGACTTTAATATAGCCACATTTCCATCTTCATTATGATTTCTCGCTGAGGTACATTTATAAAATGAAAATGTTAAATTTCAAATCAACAAGAATGTTATATTAAGTTCTAATTATTGTACTAATGTTGATGATTAGAAATAACTCAGTCGTCCCACTCATGGGTCTTTATTTTGGGGATAAACAGGAAATGGTCTGGGTATACGAGTGGTTGGAGGAAAAGAAGTCCCTGGTAGTAATGGAGATATTGGAGCATATGTTGCCAAAGTTCTACCTGGAGGAGCAGCAGAACAGACAGGAAAGATTCTTGAAGGTAAGACCTTAATGGATTTAGTTCAGTTTTTGTACAAAATTATAGAATGAAAGTGGTTTCATTGTAAAAAGCAAAAAGTAAATTATACTATGAATATTTCAAATGACATCATTTTCACCAATTTGTGTATGGTGTGTGTTCTATTCATATGGATTTAAAGGATAGCATAAGGACGCATCATTAGTTTGGCAAATTTGATATTTTTAACCTTAATTAAAGCAGGGTTAGATAAAGGGATGAATGGCAAGATGGATACATAACCATCTGGGTCAGGATATCCATGGTGGTATACCATATATCTAGCACATTGAGAGGAGAGTGCAGGGACTCATGTTTCATTTTTCACTATCACTGTGTAGTGAACTGTTTTTTTGTTTTTGTTTTTTAAGTTAAATCTCTGTCATTGTAAACCTTAATTCCCACAAGCAGTCCTGAAAAAAATAAAGGTTATGTGCCTCACGTGAACATCTATTTGTAGTCATTCACAAGGAAACAGTGAAATGCAATAAAATAAGCAGTTACAGCAAGTAAATATAGTGACAAAAATAGGGTGTAGTTTGCATTCAACGTTAACGACGTAAACATGAATCATATCTTGAAATGTGGAAAAATGTCAATGTCATGTCTGTTAGTTTTTTGACAAATACTTTCTCACAGCCAGCATTTTACGAAAAGAAATGGATATGCTGGGAAGCCAGTTGTTTTTTCATAAAGAAATGCATTATCTGTGCTTATTCATTCAAAATGATCAAAATGATCAAAACAAAAAAAATCAAGACACCAAATAACCATAGTGCTTCAAACCATAGATAAATGACCTCTTATTTCACGCTCACAGACCCATCACTGACACCACCTGAAGATATATTACCGCGTGGTTTATTAGCGGGAACACATTTAACAAGGTGCTATTGATTTCATAAGGGATACTATGGAACCAGTTAACCTCATCACCCTCCCACTCCTTTTGGCTCCTATGAGTCACATTAAGGATGTTGGAAAATTGGTAAAACTGTGGCAGAGTCAAACTGTGGGCAGAGAAAGAAAACGTCCAGTCTGCTTTGAATATTATTAATGGGTGGGATCCCCGATTCAAAGTGGATTCTGTCATCGCCCTGTGAATGCGTGTTTGCAGATTCTTCTGTACGACTCCCTCATTCAAATTTGTATTCTGTTCATCATGTACATACAGAAAATAGTGTTCTTTGTGATTGCCTTAATCCAAAATGTGTTGTGTTGTTCACTGCAGGGATAGCACAACCATGGCAACATGCAAATCTTTGTCATCAACACTGAGCATAATGTCAGCAGAGTCCGTACTTTGGTTCTGCCAGAGGGAACACAGTGTCTCACTGTCTCTATTTAGTGAGAATATGGAGGAATGTCAAATTCAACTAGCAAAGAGGCTTTGTGTCAGAGCATTTACAAATAAATCTGAGCTTTTTTTGTCTTCTGACATCAAATTACTCATCAAATTGATGATGTCAGAAGACAACATTTTTAAATTTGATGAGTAATATGGTTATGAAAATACAGAGTATATTGACTGCCGTTCACATACACAGCTCAAGACTATCGCCGCAAACAGAGGACCCTTTTGCTGAGCTGCTTCAATTTGTGTAAGTCCTGCCAATGTGCAGGATGTGCTTTTTTTGGAGTGCAGTGTTGAGTGCAGTGTTGAGTGGATTTGTGCTATTTCCAATAAGAATAGAGCTTCTTTTTTTTTAAAGTTGAAAAGGCCAATCTGATTGGACTGATTTTTCTTCCAACATCCATCATATTTTAATCCTGTCCTGCAAACTACAGTTTCATAGATATAATAACACAAAGACATGAATTAATCTCAGGCATGCTTGTTCCTCGATGTTCTGTGAGCAGCTTTGAATACCAGCTGCTGTTTGGGCTGTCACCAACATTCATGCTTTCAGTACTTAGACACAGTTTGATGCCTATGTCTCCTGACACTGAATTAAAGCTTGCTTTCTAACAAATGATTTCTCACTGCAGGTGATCCAAGTATATTCTGCTTCTCATTCATTACTCCCCACATTAAATCAAAGAGATCTTTTTTAAAATAATTTTATTTGGCTTGAGGTGGTTTTTCAGAGGGGATATTAATATTAGAGGAAAAATAGAATTGGTCGCTCCCCTGAGTGTGTCTTGTGTAAATCAATTATAGGAATGCAAGTTTTGGAGTGGAACGGCATTCTTCTGACAGGGAAAACCTATGAAGAAGTACAGGGGCTTGTCGGACAGCTGTGTAATGAGGCAGAAGTGTGTGTCAGACTGTGAGTACCATGTTCGTCACTGTCTACTTTCTCTTTCACTCATCCTCACTATTCAATAAATATATTGTATTGTTGTTTAAACCTTTACCTTGACATTTAGAAGACATTTCTTTTTTACCTCTTTCTTATAAATTCATATTGTATGCCTCTTTATTTTACTCAAACATATGCTTCAGATTACCTACTTCAGATATTTGATAGTTCACTAATTGATCTAGATTTTCTTGTTTTAGCTTCCTTTCTTCTAGTAAATGTATTCTTCTAACCTTTATTTGATTTTTTAGTGATCTGAACATGCTGGCTGAGTCTGATGGTTCACAGCACCTCGATTTCCACGAGCACAGCAAAGGTAGGTCTTGGCCTTTCTTTTTTATGATTTCATCCCAGACGTTCACAGTGCAAATTTTATAATTTATTCTTAATTGTTTTTGAATGTTACAAGAGCCAGTAGCTGAGCATATGCCCCTCAGTTGCCATATTCTTCCTGGAAGGGATTGCATGTTTCATTGTATGTGTAAACCTTCCAGGGGACAGACCTCCCAGGTCTCCAGGTGTTGATCCCAAACAGCTGGCAGCAGAGCTACAGAAAGTCTCACAACAACAAGCTCCCACATCCACCTCTTCCTCCAGTCTGGCCCCAGCCTCTGCAACCTCCAGTCCGGGTCAGCCAGGGTCCCCCTCCGTCAGCAAGAAACGCCACAGCAAGGCGAGTTCACTCCCATATAGGTGTATGCAGAGTTAGGATAGCAATGTTTTAAAAGTTCACATAATGTTTTTGTCAGAAGTCAATGCTGAAGTATCAGACCATCAAGAGCATGATATGTAAGGGAAGCTTCATGTCTGACTATGCTCAGTGTGTTGTAAGTCCCCTTTATACCACATGTGTTATGGTTTTTGATATAGTGACTAAAAAGTTACATATGATAGTTTGAACAGCAAAGCAAAATGACAAGCAAACAATTTGAGGTTGTGTTTAAAATACTATCTTGCTGGATGTCATTAGGTTAATTTTTCTGAGCTACATCCATTGTGTTGCTTTCATGTTGCCTTCTACAGACTTCAGAGGGAATGAAGACCTTGTCACACCCCATCTCTGGAGAGATACAGGTCTGTGAAATGAAGCAATGAGCTCTGCTCTAGACGTTTTTGTAGCGATTAAAAAACAACAAGCAATGCAATTGGATTTACACCATTTTTGGTCTTAATTTCCATGATTCGTTTATTACATCTGAATCTATTTGATTTAAATTGTTTCTATTTTTTTACAGCTTCAAATCCACTACGACAAGCAGCTTGGCAACTTGATCGTTCATGTCCTGCAGGCCAGGAACCTTGCTCCGCGTGACAATAATGGCTACTCTGACCCATTTGTGAAAGTGTATCTCCTACCAGGGAGAGGGTGAGTCAGGAGACAGCAATCTGTGAGCGTGGGTTAAGTGGTTCAGAAGAGAAATATTAGTTAGAGCTGTGGGATACAAGATTAAAGACATGAAGGCACACAAAAAAGGTAAAAGAGGAGTGTAAACATGACTTTGGGAAACACAAGCAGTCATTTTTATCCAGACTCAGAGAAGGAGTGTCTTTCCGCAAAGAATTTTCCATCTATGCTGTGCACATAGTGGGGTTTTTTCTTAGCCCAACTTAATTCCATTGATTTTTAAACCAATTTACAGTTGAATGTTGGCTTCCCATGACATCTTTCAATGTGCAGCTCGTCTTTTGTTTGATATCAACTCCATATCACTAAAACATTCACTTTTATGATGGTTTACTTGAACCTCCTGTCACTGGACTCATCAGCCCCTTATCATTACTGAATTACAAAACATTATGTAAATAAGATGAGGTTGATAGTGTGCTCGTGCTGACTCTGTGAATGCTGTACTGTAGGCATAAGTGCAGTTGAAATCAATAGCTGTCATATTTACTTGCAATGTGATCCACACTCCCTCACAAGTGGAGGGCTCCCTTCTCTCTGTGATTGCATTATAATTCAATTGGCTCTCCCACCTGTTCTTCTGTACCGAAGGAGGTCTCATGAGATAGGTTTTTTTAAAGTTATTATCTCAGGTAAAAGTAATGATACGTAGCAAGTAGTTACAGAGACATACACATATGCAAACCTGTATATATCTTGTGTCGTGTAGATGCTCAGATACATGGATTATTACAATAGGGCCTCATTTCTCTTGAGAGCAATGTCTCAAGAATCAGTTACCAGCAAGCAAAAAAGACTATGCTTTGATTGGATATAATGTGGAAAGCACCTTTTTTGCGGTTTGCTAATCTACAACAAACTTTGACTAGATTGATTTTACATGTACCCATGTCTGCAGATTAAAAGTTTTTTATGTTAAATATACATTCATCAGTGACATAAAGAGCGTATCATAGAGTAATTGCAGTAAGTCCAGAAGCTATGTACAAAAACATCCAATTAAATTTTCTCCGCTTTGCCCCTCCCTTTAGTTTTGCGAAAGATTGCTCTATTTTAAATTGGGATTGAGGATTAGAGTTGACTTATTGAACACCCCTTCATCTGCAAACTGTCCATGAGGAGAGGACTGGGATAGGCCTTTGCATTTATGTACATTATGAGGTTCCATGCCAAGTAATGAAGCAGTAAACTTCACATGACATCAACTCCTCTTTTCACACCCACTAGCAGTTCATGATGAACTGCAGATGCACACCAGAGTTCCCTGCTTGGACCCTTTACCAAAACCGCACAATATGTCACCAGTTACTCCACTTAAAGTAACTTAAATCTGCACTTAACTCCTTCTTGCACACACTCACAGTCCACAGACACTCGTGACCCCCCCACCCTCCCTCTGACTATTGTTTCTGTATGTTGTTCTCTATATTTAATGCATGCTGGACCCTCAGTCAGGTCATGGTTGTCCAGAACGCCAGGTATGTGACTTGCCCACTTTGGTTCTGTTTTGGTTGAAAAGTTGGTTGTCAGTTTGGTCCCAAGATGGCTATGTTGTTTAATGGAAGATTAATGATCATAGTCAGTGATATCAGTCCCACTAACTCCTCTCACCCTTCAGAAGTTGTACATGTTCCATTACCCTTTTATTCTCATGATGATCCCCTCAACTTTGGAGTTTCTTTCAAAGGAGAGAAGTCCTTAAACATACTAAACCTAACACATATAAACTAATAGTCCCGTGTGCTGTTGTCTTCGCTTAGTAGATGGTTTGTGTATGTTTTAAACCATTATAATTCCAAATCCTAACCTTGAGCTCAACAGCTTTGAGTTTATGTCTGTTTTATGATCACGATTTGTTCTTCATTGTCCCGCAACAATGCAGTGAACCTTTCATGTCCTTCCACATTCAATACATGCACCTATTACTTTGATCTGCAGTATTGATTCATTCCATTGTTTCTTAGTGTGTAGAGTACGTTGCTTTTCCATTCCTCTCTAACTCTCCAGACTTACTCTGACTACCTACTCGTAGCCTAAAACTCCTGCGCTCTGCAAAAAACATCCATTGTAATGTGCCTTTCATTCTCTTCCTCAAAAACAATCAAATTGAATATTGTCTGTCAGATTAATTCATGTTTTACATTCAAAAGGATTTCTGATGGGATTTTGACAATAATTATGATATTTATTATTAGATATGTCTACATATTTTTGCAAATCTTTGTTCAACAGAATATTATAATCATAAACTTGCATGCCTTTGTTTCATTGGCATACTTCTACTCTGTTGGCACACCTTTTGAGGCTAAATGACCTGATAAACATCAAAATGGACTTTTTTGCAGCACACACTGAAAACCTTCCTTGCCATGTGTGCACGTAGGTCTATGCATTCATGCCATCTGAATAATATGCATCGCCATCATCATTTTCCTGCTATCCCTTCACATCTGACCTCTTGTCATATCTTGTGGTGGTTAAAGTGTGGTGGTCCACTAACCTGCAAGTTAAGATGCATGTTGACCCAACGGGTATTTTTGTCTGTTTCAACAGTGCTGAAAACAAGAGGAAGTCCAAACATGCTGGCAGAAGTCTGAACCCAGAGTGGAACCAGACCGTCATCTACAAGAACATCCACTTGGAGCAGGTACTGCACGCAATCATGTAGTTGTGTTCACTAGAAAGGTGCAGCAAGTGAACCAACAATTCACAAATGTGTTGTAGTTTTTTTCCATGGCCATTCATTTTGAGTAGAACACATTAATGTGACTCTAATTTGATAAATCACTCTAGTTCATTTTATCATTAAATAACAGAAAAGCTTCGTAAAGTTTTCCACATTTTTCAGTCCCGGATGAAATCATAAATACTGATAACTGTAAAAAAACAACAACTTTTAAACAGCTTCGAAAGAAGACTCTGGAGGTGAGCGTGTGGGACTACGACAAGTGCTCCTCCAACGATTTCCTCGGAGAGGTAAACCCTTTTCGCTGCAGAGTGGGAACCAGTTGCTTTTATTAGCCGTGTATGCTGAACAGCTTTGTTTGTTTCCAGGTTCTCATTGATCTGTCTAACACCGCTCAGCTGGACAACATTCCACGATGGCTCCCTCTTAAGGAGCAGAGCGAGGGGGACCACCACAGACGCTCGCACTCAGGCCAGGGCCGACACGGCTCCTCTAAACCCTCCTCACAGCACTCATCCCCTAAAACCACTGCCTCCGCACATGATAATCAGGATTCCCCCAAATCATCTGTCATCAAGAGCAGAAGCCATGGAATTTTCCCAGATCCAGCCAAGGGTAGGACACGATGAATTTTCCCAACCTTCCTGATTCATTCTCAAACAACCCTCCATACTTTGCTGCTTCTCTGCTATTTTTGTTTTCCTCCTCTCTGCATTCTTCTCTACTGTATTCTTGTCACTTCTTTTTCTCTCCCCTCACTCCACTTTCTCTGCCTTTTTACCACGGCGTGGATCTGTCCGCCTGATCCTCTCTTTGCAACCCAATCACCTGTATAACCCACGCTTTTCTCTGCCCATTTGCGATGTCATTGTAGCTTGTGCTTCATGCTTTTTGCTTTCTCCTGGTCTTTTTTCTTGGTTGTTGTGATGTCACCCAGCTCAGATGCTTTGCCCTCTACCTATTCCATAAAGCAGAGGGCAACAGGATCGTGGAAGGCTTTGGATGCTTTCCTTAAAGAACAAAAATTAACATCAAAGTAATTTCAAATTAAATGAAAATCCTAGCAGATCAGATCACAGACTTGATAACACAGCTCCAATCTGGCTGAATGCACTCAGTAGCCAGTGAGTCACCACAGGACATAGCAGCCTCTAAGATCGCTATAAAAGATAGTTTTTTTTTGGTAATTTGGTGAATCTGGTTGTTTTAGACACGCAGGTGCCCACTATCGAGAAATCTCACAGTAGTCCTGGCACATCGAAGCCTTCCCCATCCGAGGGCCAGAGCCAAAGCCACAGCCACGGACACAGCCAACACTCTCGCTCTCATGGCACGCCACGCTCCAGCAAAAGTGCCTCACGGCAACAGCATAAGGAGGGTGGCATTGGAAGCAGCGGGGGCACTGCCATAGCAACAGGCGAAGCCCAACAGCAGTCACAGCAGCAGCCACCACAGCGCCTCCAACCAAGTAAACCAAGACGCAAATAAAGCCCACGCAGCATGGCCTCCTCGCACTCATCTTCCAACTTCTGTTCAGTTTCTGTTTATTCACATTCCTTTTTCTAGTCTCTGTTACTTTTCACCCATTACACCTTCTGATTATCCGCTCCTCTCCCCCCATTTTTCCAGTGTGTCAGCTTTCCATCCCTCCTCCCCTGTATTTAGTCACAAGTTTTCAGAGCCAGCTCCTCACCTGTACAGTAAAACACAGTCCGTGTTTAACCTCCCTTCATTTAACCCAAAGAGGCATAAGGCTGCACAAAAAAGATTGATTCTATTGGCAGTCCTTTAAGAATTAAAAATATATAAAATAGATTACAAATAATATAAAAACAAAAAATCTTGGTTTAAAACAAACAATTTCTCATACTCGTATAAAAATGAACATTAACTAGTTACACCAAACTGCTTAGGATCAGCAAAAGGGCAACAGTGTTAACAGAAAAGATCAAATAAATGCGCTCTTAAACATTTGTTTAAAGGTTTGTGACATTTCTATGCCCCTTAAATGACAAACTAAGCTATTTCAGGCCATCTTTTGTGCCGAAAATGTAAATTTATTGGTGAAAAAAATTTTCCTTCTCAGGTTATCAGCGCCAGTTATTTAAACATTTTAAAATGGTTTATCTAAACAGAAGAAAGTAGTCCCACTCTTCTATTATCATTAACCTTTTTTGTATTTTTATTTCATCTTGTTTTGTTTTCTCTACATTTTAAATGATTTTCATTTTGCTGACGCAAAAACAACAACCAGCTTCTCTTAAGCTCCTCCACTAAGACGGCTGTGCATGCAGTCCAGCACACCCCCCTTTTTTCTTTTCGTCCTAACAACCTCCGGACCCACAATGCACCTCAGTAGATGCTGCACACGCTGCCTCTTAGAGATATGCGGGCAGGACGAATGTGCACCGCACACTGTGGCTGCATGTGACTGACAGTCAAGCTGGTTGCCATGATGAAGATAAACCGCTCTCTGAATCTCCATCTTGCTCCCTCCTCACATCTTGAACTGCGACCCCATGTCTTTTCCCCGGCATTGGCCTCCCCTCCCTACGACATCTGAACTGTGCCCGTGAAAAAACAAACACGTCCAGGCCAAAGAGGCCGTCTCTCGCTGAGGCACCAGAGGCACAGCGTAGTGGGCGTGCTGACCATTCAGAGAGCCCAGTCCGACTGGCTCCCCGCCCTCCCATCGATTGTGTCGGCCAAAGGCGGCAGAGCAGACGGCAGACACCTGACCCTCAGGAAAGCGCTGTCAGAGGAGAGGCCGCAGATCGCCGGAGGTGAGCGTTTGCCCAAAGAGTCTCCCCACTCTGTCGTGTGACTGAAGCACAGATGGAGCAAAGGAGAGAAAGAGAGAGTGAGAGAAAGAGAGAGGATGCAGTACTACTAACGCACACCTGCAGAGAGAAAAAATGGGAGTCTTGCAAGAAATAAAAGACAGGAAGGTAGCAAGAAAGAATGCACTCATCTACACCACTGGAGATTCATGCAGCAAGGCGTGCTTTCTTCATGGCCACCAACAGTTTCTAAAACTATGTTGCTCTCTGTGGTTTCAGTACACAGTTGTTGCTGAGATTTGACAGTTCGGGAATGATTTTGTGCCGAGTGGCCTGAAAGAAAAACATGTCGACATGGATCTTTTCCACCGCATCCACACATCTTACATCATTCATACTCTAAACTAAACAAAAAATGTTTCATTTTAAATGGGTTTATGTAAACAGAAGTTTAAGCATATTTAAAAATGGCATAAACATTATAAAACCACCTCCATATATAAAACTTCTTCTTCTCAAATAAAGCCAATCTTAACCTTGAATTAGTTAAACACTTTCATGTGGATGACTAACAATGTCGGTAGCATCTTTGTGCCTCTCTGCATCAACATATATATTTTCTTGTTAAAACTTACTCTTCTTAAAAGAAACTTCACTTTCTGTCCATGTGCTTGTTGCTAGTCCTTGGTCTTTGTGTGCTATTCATTACAGTCCAGTGTTGTGTCCTTAAATGAAGTGTTCTTTTCTCAATATTTGATATATAGCAATTTTATTCTGCAGATATTAACTAATACTTCTTGGCCATAGTTTTTATGTGGGAGCCACCGGAGGCACCATTTTCTTCCTTTCCTTTGTGGTGATGGGTGTGGTTGTATCTCTGCACAGCTCGGTCAAGCTACAGATCGGGTGAGGCCCCAGTCACAGCTGCATCGCTGGACAGTGGACTTAGTGGCAGTGCCTACAGCCTATTGGATGAAGATGGAGAGACAAATGAGGTGGACAGTGCAATCTTCCATGTGCCCCGATTGTAAGTTTTGTTTTGTTTTGTTTTTCTCATTCAAATATGTTATGGTATTTTTTCCTTTTCAGTGTGCATTTGTATGATGCCTGATCACTGCCCTCCATACTTAAAAAAAACAATATGAATGAATACTGTTGCAGATTTACTGTGCCTCTTACAGTGGTTGGAAATAGCAACTGAACTTACTGTGCTTTGGATCAAGCAACAGATTCTAATATGAGTTTTTGCAGCTCAGTGGGTTGAAAATCCACTTCAAGTCCATCAATCCACGTTTGAACAAACGTGTAAAAGTGAGAAAATGGTGGAACATTGTTGATCTCCTCAAGTGTAAACAACCAGCAATAATTGCTCTGAGAGCTACGCAGTCAATAGTTTTGAATGTCGTGGAGGTAACTGGCTGTATCCCGAATAAAATTCCTTGTCCATTGTTACTGTTGTCATCTTTCCATCTAAAAAGGGAGACAGTGTGAAAACCCTTGTGTCAGGTTAACTTTGCAATTTCACTCTACAGCTGTGCTGTTTCATGCTACAGTTTTAGGAACAGTGAGGTTACAGGAGGAATATGAATGAACTGCAACAGATCAGAGCAACAGCGTGCAAATTATTTTAGAGCCCACTAGTTGACATTTATCCTTAAATAACTAATTATATTTTTGTCATTTTTTTACATGCCTGGCACATAAACAAAAAGACCCAATGACAGAAACTTTATTGAGAATTTTGCTACTAACTTAAGCTTTTAAGACCCAGATGTGTACTGAGATGACCAAACTTTTCTAATTTCAGCTGTTTCACAGCATAATATTGTGTTTGCTGCATCTTGTGATGAATTAACCCCAAATTTGCTCAAGCATTATAAAAGTTATGTCTTTGTATTTCCTCACCCCTTTCTCGTTGAATTCATTAATCAAAGTTAGGAACCATGCAAGAGGAAACCAGTTTTACCAAAAGTTTATTTACAAATGTTTAGAGGTACAGAGTCTGAAAAGAGACCTAATCAGCATAGCAATATTAACTCAGTGTTTTGTTAAATTCAAAACCAAATGCCATAACATCTTTCCGTAAAATTAACTTTAACAGAGAGGGATATTCATACATCAAGCTAATTCATCCAAGCCAAAGCACAAAGTTTAAATTTTGAAAAGGCAAAGCCAAAGACTGTAGGTTCATCGTGCCGAAATTGATGGCTATTGATATATTTGTATACTCTTTGTGTAAATATGTTTTGGTGCAACACTCGGATTATGTTTTAGATTATATTAATGATACATGAGCATTTTTAAACTATGAAATATTTGCGCATACAGTAAATAAAGTGTTCTGAATGTTTCTTTTATTTTCTCTTTTCTCTTCTTAGTGGAAAGATCCCAAATGGCACCGACGTGATGAAATCATCAATGGGGCACAGTGACACTGAAGGTTGGAGAAGCATTTTTTTTTTTGGTTGAAATATGAAATATAAACACAGATTTGGGATTAATCTCCAAACAGACGTTATTTTGTCAATCATCTGTCTTAAAAATTATATCCCTGATGCAAACGTGCAGAAATGACCTGGAAAAGCTCATAAGAACAGATTTACAACATTTGTCTGGAGCTTAATTCAGACTTGCATTACATTCTCACACATTTTCTGAATCTTTTTATAATCCTCAAAAAGTTTCTTAATGTCACTGTGTTTCTTGTCATTTCACAAAAGATTTTATTGTTCTAAATTGATTAGCTATAAACATACTATATAAACATCCAAAGTTTGACCACATCTCAAAAATGGTTTTTTCTTAAGCTACCAAGAAATTGAATCTCGTTTTAAACCGTTTCAATTATTGTCCCCAGAGAATTAGAACAGTCAAACAAACACATAAACACCCACAATGCTGCTGTTGCTTGATGGGGTCTCGTTGACCCAAGTTTCACGACTCTCATTTTTACTCTGTTGCCAAGGCAACCAGAGGCTAGGCCGGGCTCATCATAACTACTCTTCATCCCTGTTAAATAAACAAATGTGGCTGCTTGCAGGCCATGCCACTGATGATGTCACTCATTGTGTTGGGTCTCTTGATGTCCACTAGAGGGCAGCGAATCTGAGCTCGGGCTGAAGAGACATGTTCCACTTTTAGTGTGTTTCAAACCAATTCTGGAAGTGCATTCAACTTCTTTTGTGTTTGTGTTTAGGTAAGACTCAGGTAATGGGGGAGATCAAGATTGCTCTGAAAAAAGAGATGAAGACAGAGGGTGAGCACCTGGTCCTGGAGATTCTACAGTGCCGTAACATCACCTACAAGTTCAAGACTCCAGACCACCTGCCTGGTAATAGAATATAAAGACACATTAGATAGATTACATCCACTAAAGTGTATGTTTATTTAGTCGCAAAACTACAAAATACACCTTCATGCCTTTGTGGTTTAATAAGCTATCTTCTATAAATCATTATCTTGCCTTATTCAAGATAAGTCCTTGCAACATGTGAGAGTAAAACATTAATTCTATGCACATTTTCATCATAACCTTTTTTTTTCTTTATATGTAACAGTTGCAAAGCCCACACAAACACTTGTTCTGGCATGTCAGACACCCTCAAGTGTTTTCCTGTTTTGTAGAACAGCTGGTATATAATGTTCCCCAGCCCACGTTCTGGTGTAGAGTATTTATTTAGCCAGTAATATACTGATTTTTATACAAATGCATGGCTTTAGCCGCCACAAAGACAGGCCTCGGAGAAAACAGGAAGTCTTAAAGGTATGCAATGTTCCCAAGAAGGATTTATTGGTCTGCAGCTTGTAACCACCAGCAGTGGCATCATGAAAACGGCTAAAAAGGCAAGGGAACACAGATGTTTAATTAAAAACAGTACAGTTTCATCATTTACAATTATTTTCAAGCAAAATTTCTACTTTTAAGGAAATCCGAAAGTCTTGGTGACCATAAAGTTTATTAGAATTTCCCAATTTTCATGAGATTTAGTCTAATATGACTTCATCCTAGTGTTTACAGCAAATAAAAAGCAATTATCAATTTCTTTGTTGTTTCTTTTCAGATTTTATACTTATTGTTATTGCTTTAGTATGGCATCTTGTTTTCTAGTTCAAACGCTTGTTTTAGGAGACAGCGTTGCTAAGTATGTACTATATCTGTCTGCACAGATCTTTATGTGAAGCTCTATGTGGTAAATATTGCCACCCAGAAAAGGATCATCAAGAAGAAGACCAGAGTCTGCCGTCATGACCGTGAACCATCCTTCAATGAAACTTTCCGCTTTTGTATGAACCCAACCGGACACTCGCTGCAGGTAACATCACCCTGTTTTAATACTAAGCCAAAACTGAAGACTGTTGGAATACATAATTTAAAGATGCAGAGAAGATGTAACTAGTTTATAGGGCTAAGAAGGAATAGTCAATATTGCTTATTTGAAGTAATTCAGGGCGGCACGGTGGTGTGGTGGTTAGCACTGTCGCCTCCCAGCAAGAGGGTTCTGGGTTCGAATCCCGGGGGAACCAGGACCTTTCTGGGTGGAGTTTGCATGTTCTCCCTGTGTCTGCCTGGGTTCTCTCCGGGTTCTCCGGCTTCCTCCCACAGTCCAAAAACCTGCATGTTAGGCTGATTGGAGATTGGGGAAATTGCCCTTAGGAGTGCATGTGAGTGTGAGTGGTTGTTTGTCCTTGTATGTCCTGTGTGTGGCCCTGCGATGGACTGGCGGACTGTCCAGGGTGTATCCTGCCTCTCGCCCGTTGACCACTGGGATAGGCTCCAGTTCCCCCTGCGACCCCATCAGGGAATAAGCGGTATTGATAATGGATGGATGGATGGATGGAAGTAATTCACTTATAGAGGGCGAATATACAAGTACACAAATCGTGCAATTTGTTGTGTTTTCATGTAAAAAGTACCTCATATGACTAACTGCAGTGTCTTTTTGTCACACCAGCTGTTCCTTGTGTCAAATGGGGGAAAATTTATGAAGAAGACCCTTATCGGGGAGGCCTATGTGTGGCTGGACAAAATCGACCTACGCAAGCGAGTGGTGAGCTGGCACAAGCTGCTCGCCAGCACTGCCCAGATCCACTCCTAGGAGGCTGCTACGTCTGAAAAATAGATTTTGGAAGGCAAGAATTGTCATACGAGAGGGGTGGGGACTCGATATCTGTAAGACTGACATCGTGGTCCAGGTGTCCTGGGAAAGGGTGGTGTCTTCAGCCTTTGTTTCAGCTCTGGGATAGCTTGAGTTTTGGACGCTGCTCTCAGTAGGATCATTTGAAGAAGACATGTTTACAGAAAACGATCACGCGTTTACAGGACATTAAGCATACGGCAGAGTAGTTTGGAAAAAGGAGAGCACGGGAGCTGAGTTCAGAGGTCAAGCTCAGAATAAACCAGGTATTACAAACTTTGATTTACAAACATACACATGAACATAGTTACTTTGCACACTGTCATTTACATAAAGGAGGGATTTTAATGCTAAGAGACACAGGGACCCACTAGTAGAGTATGATTTATTTATTTAGATGTTTTACCAGTAAAGATTATCTAAATGTGCCCTTATCATTGCTTTATTATAATCTGCAGAATTTTATTGATTTTCAAAGCATTGAGAATTGAGAAATTAATGACTCTGCCACAGAGACCTCTTATTTATTTTTGTAATATTATGTTATTGTAGAGCTCTATGATTTGTCTTCTGCTCAATTATTTAATGATTTTAAAAATCTATCCTTGGAGGGAAGCATATATATTCTAAGAGACTACCTAGCATTTCAGCTCAAAAAAGAAAAAGAAACAAGCATGTTTTTGGTCTTATTAAGACTACTAAGACTACTTGTGCCCCAGTACTTTTTGCCTGAGATTTATCAAATGATCATTATTGTTTGATAGAGGATGACATATATTAAATTGGACACTTTATGGTATATTGTGCACATGAGTCAATGTGGCATGTAGCGCCATATGTTCTGCACAAAAGAATATGATAATACAGTAAATAAAAAACCCTCTAAGATTCACTTTGTAAATAATGAAAATGAGATAAACATGGGTATTAAAACAGATGAAGATATCTTTACCATAGACAATCGAGTGTTGATGATTGTGAAATAGAGTTTTATTTATCCTCGATGCCCCTTAGAATGTGAGATGTGAACTGCCTGAGATTTCATGTGTTCCTTTGTGTCAGCCAGCACATAACTAGTCTTACAACGGTCTTGCTTCGGTTCATGAGGGCAGTCAACTCAAGTACATGTTTTGTGGTATTTTGCACTTTTTCTGCTTAGAATGTAAAACTGACATCCTGCTAAATATTCAATTTCATCAGCGTGAAACATCGGGATTAGGAATTAAGCAACGGCAATGTTAGAGATGTTGCAGCGAACAAGACAAATGTGCCATGAACTATCCAGAAAAAGCACTATTGTCATCCTGAAATAAAACACTGATGTTATAGCAATTGTCACAGAAATGTCTTTGAAGTCGTGTCCATTCATGTTGTCTGGTGTGCTCATTGGGGGTCAAGAGACAGTATTACTGGTTCATTTTCATATTCAGTCAAACTTAGCAGTGAAACTACACTTAATATTTGAGTGATTTCTATGCAACATCCACTGTAAAGGCAGAACAGCTGCATCTTGACTTGCCCGAAAGGAAACATAGAGAAAGGCTTCTTTTTCTTTTTCTTTTTTTTGCACTGCTGAGTCATTTCATGTTCATCACAAAATGGTTACTGCTTTAAAGTTATTCTTTCTTTCTTTTTAATTGCTTTGTCTTAACTTGTGATTTTGTATCACAATACAAATCTTTATTTATTACCTGTGAGATGATTTCATATGTTGTATTAAATGTGTTAACAGTACATATCAGGTGTACAGAAAAGCATTTGAAATTTTCTTTTTATACACAATGTAGTGCTTGTTTACAACAGTTTAGGGGGCCTGAAAGTCGGAGACCTATCTTGCCCTTGAGCATGAACACACAGTCACACATAAAGAATTATACAGAGTTAGAAATCTTGGTAAGAAAAAACAACATTCCTTTATTTTTGTGCACTTTCTATTTGAGTTGTTCTTTTTCTGGTCTCTGTAAAAGAATTTACAAAAAAGAAAAAGGCATTGTAATTAATTGACATTATATCTGAAACAGTGGTTTTAAAGTCTGTGTGCTCACCTTTATTTTTCTTGATTTTATACCTGTGTGCTTGTGTGTGCAGCATCTTCATACCAAGTCCATGCATGTCATTTGTCCTAATGCACATATTTTCTTTTTAAGTGTCGTCTAAGAATTCCAATTGTAACACACAACGAATTATATGTGTTAACACACACACAAATGCCATCTATCTGTTTCCAGCTTTGTAAATACATAGTTTTTATACTGGGGTTTGGGGAGCAATAGGTCTTTTAGCAGTCAAAAAAAGGTACCAGGAACTTGTATAACTGATCACTGTACATTGAATTGATGGTAAAAGGAAATCTTGTCGGTCTATAGGGGGCCCAAACTTCCCCAACCCTTCACAAGGAACACTAAAAGTTTACCAGAATTGAACACAGAGGTCTTATCTAAACAACTCAAGTAGTTGCAGGAGAATTTAAATGTGATCACATTGGATGTTGCATGTTTTGTTGGTGGTTCATACTATTTTTGTGTCCAGATATTATTACAGAAAATATCAAGAAAGAGCTAGTGAAAGATTTAGAGCAAAATGTCTTAGAGGGGGTGATTGTGAAGAAAACCTATAACTATTGATGATATATGCTGACTGTACAAAGATTATGCTTGTAAAACCTGTCTGGTTTTTCACTTGTAAGTAAAAAGAAAAAAATGTACTGTCATGGTTTTGTGATTGTACACAGGAGGTATTGATAAATTATGCAAAATGTGCTGTAAAAATGGCTGTTGCCCTATGTCTAAATATTAAATATCAGTAAAAATCCCTACTGTGTATTGACTGGACTCTATGGACTCTGCACACGTATTCAATGATCCCCGCAGTTTGTCTGCTTCTATTGTTATTTCCATTAACTTTTTTGTTATTTCAATGTCTTGACAGGTTTGAAAGTAGTCCTGAAAATGGTGAAATAACAGTCTGTAGCCATAAGGTGGTGCCCTGCTGCCTCACATTCTGGGAAATGCTTGTGAATAGTGTGGTAACGTCCCCTAACACAGGTGTTTTCACTTATTTTGGCTGATTAGCGCTCTCTTCTAAAGCGTGCGTGGGCGCGTGCAGATGGGGTTTGTTGACAGCTCCGTCTGTAGCGTCGCTCTGCCCAGCTTTGGATTTCGATCACAACCAGCTGTGTGCATGCAGTTTTTTTATGCTCTGTCGGTCCATGAGGCATTTGTAAAAATAGATAAATAAACTGAAAAGGTTGATAAAATTTTTCTATTGGATGCCAAAACTGAAACTCTCAGACTTGTTTAATGAGAGGAACCTTGACAAATGCTGTCAGGTCTCAGTATTAGTCAGTGCAGTTTGAAAACACCACAATTAAGATTCTCTCTCTTGCTCTTTTTAAAAATGTATTTAATTTATTTTCACTCTCGACTTATGGGAAGATATGCTCCAACAGCGAGCGGCTGAATTTGAACACTTCTACAGGTGCTCAGATATACAAGGCTATATATATATATAGCTTCATATCTTTATTGTGTGTGTTGTTTCATAAATTGGAGGGTTTTAGTCGGCTCAGTTTGTAGGTCCAAAACGGCACTGCAGATTTATGTAGCATGAATGGATAGGAAGGGACATTTGAAGCCATTTAGGAGGCCCGTGCTGGAGGGTCACACAGACGAATGCATTCACTTAGAAATATATTCTGACAGCTTGACCCAACACAGAGATTCTTAAAGGTAGTTGCTTCAATGAACAATGAAAATAACATTTGACATTCCACACACATCATTTTCAATAGAATCGTCCCATGAAATATTTCGATGACTTGGTGTATACAAGTTGAGGTGATAAATGTAATTAATTTTGAGAAATAAATCATAAAAAAAACTTTTCAGCTCACACCTACCGTCTGTCAGCTTACATGTTAGTTAATTGGTGTCTCCATATTCACTGTGAGAGTGTATGGTTGTCAGTCTTGCTTGCATTGACCTATGATGGGCTGTCACCCCGTGACAGCTGGGATTGGCCAGGATGGATGGATATTATTTGCCCTTGCAAAACATATAGCAAAAGCCATTTATTTCACCATTTGGTTTACCTTGATCTTGGAAAAGGCCAACACAATGTAATTTAGATTAACTGATTTTTACCATAAAACATTCATAACTCTTAGAACAATATAAGTAAAAGAAAGACTCAGAAAACAATAAGTTTGTGCCAGCCGCACAGAAGAAACAGCAGTGTTCTGTTCTGCTCATTCAACAACATATTTATTATATCATATTTATTATAGCCATGCAGATTAAAATACCTGTTATAATCTCTAAATGTCTGAAATACCAAAGACTTGTTGGTTGCCTGAAGAAATTCAGACAAAAGGAGTAATTTGTCAACTTTAAACACCAGCCAGTTGTAGTAAAGATTGAATGCCAGCAATTAGGCTGTTTTGCCTGTAGGAGGAGCAAGAAATCAATTTAGCAGGTATTTAATCTTTTTCTTTTGGACATTTAACCTGACTGCTCTAAAACGAGTAAATACTTGTTTTTCACCTTCATGGCCCGTTTCTATGTGTAATGACTTTTTGATATAACTGACTTTTCTTGCTCATACTGGTTGTGTTGTTGGAACTTTGGATATGTTAAATCTGATTTGGGACTTATTTCCACTCACCGTAAAAGCAGATGGAATCCTCGTAGAATGTTCTGTATTGGCACTGCCTTGTGCAGAAAAAGCTGTATACCAACTATTTGTCGAAAATATAAAGATTCATATGAGAGAAATCTTCCCCTTAGAATGAACTGATGATGTCTACGAACACAGTTTTGGAAGAGTTAGGACTGATGATCTGCTGTGAGTGAGTTATTTGTCATTCCGACCTACTAAAATGTATAACTCCTACAATAGCTGCCACTAAATTCATTCAATCTGACCGTCTGCTGATGTTTTGGAATGTCTTGTCACAGTCTCATTTGCTATTTGCAAAAAAAAAAAGAAATCACAAAAGGATCAAAGCATACTCAGCTCTCTGTGCCATATCCTGTCACATCCACATTCTGTACTCTTTGTTGTATTTCAGATTTTTCCGGTTCTCAATAACTCCATGTCCATATTCCGCTGTGTTTCTGCAATGAATCTCTCAGGTCCTCTGGCTCTAAAGATGTGTGTCCCCCTCTCTTGGCTTCAAAGACATGGCTTGCATCAGACAGGGGCCTGAAAACTTCCCGCTGTCATCCTGCATGTGTGATTCACATCCGACGAGGGTGCTCAAAACGACAGAGAACTTGCAGAGCAAGAGTCAGGGGATGTCGTCGGATGCATCATTTCATTGGGTTAGACAGAGGTTAGGTCTCAATACTTGCGCGACATTAATTTGTCCTCCTTGTTTTCTAAATTTAACATTTATCCTATTTGGACTCTGTGCTTAATATCTGTCTTTCTTTTTTTTCACTGATTTATTTTTCTGATTTCCTAGAAGGGACATGACTCTTGGCTCAGCGATGTGTAAAGACTTGGAATATATTTGTTACTAAATTAATTCCTTATGCTTAATGGTAGAGTGGCAAGACTTCTGAGGTGAAACGTCCTTTCGGAAATTGTTGATTGGGATGATTTGAGTCAAACATCATTGGAAAATGGACACTGTTCACATTGTTCCCTATGGTCATTTTATTTCATGGAGTGCTAACAGACAAATTTAGGATGGTGAAATGGTGGCAGTATACCTACCTAACTCAGGCATGTTGATATCGTTGTAAGCATCCCAACACATCAACATGAGCAATTAGTTCTAAACTCCACTGCATTTCATCACAAGGTGCAAAACAGAAATTCAGATTGACAAAGTAACTCTTAATTAATTATCTATTTCCAATAACTAACATCAAACAAGTAACATTTGACACTTAAAATTAACCAACAAATATCTCCAAGGAAACGTTGACTGAAAATACAAATATTTTTATATAAGAAAAGTCACTCAAATAAATAGCGAGTATCAAACCACATTTTGAGAAATCTTTACCTTTTGTGTTGTGTATTTAGCTGGAACATTTTAAAAATCTCACAGAATCACAGTCCATTGTTGGATTTTGAAAATGAATTGTATCCTCCTGGTTTGGATTCATGTGCTTTCCTACTGACCTACATTTGCTTTTCCCCACTAATATCTGACCTCTGGGAACTCTACCTGATACATGGAATGGAATGATTTAATATTAGATGAAGTCAGCATCTGGAAACATGAATGTGCAATAAGGCAGACTAGCAAATGTCAACAGAAAAAAAAAGTATTTGGGTACAGTTGATTAAATTCTAGGCAGAAAGCATAAGTAACAAATAACAAATTTCATGAGACGTTTATCAAAGCCGATGGTACTGAACACTACATGAAATCATCACAGGACAATGCTGATTTTAATGAGAGTAGAAAATAATTATTTTGAGAAATCAATATTTTGTAAACTGTATGTATCAAAATTAGGACAGCTATCACCTTTCACATCAAATGTCATCAAGAACAGATCCCCTTCACTGGATATCTGTTTCACCCTATGGTTCTTCTTCTCTGGGCCTTAACTTCTCCTCCTGACAGAACCGCTCTCACTAATAGTAATGTGATCGGTCAGTGCGTGGAGGGCTCTGAGGCTGCCCCGTCCTGAGTGAGACATCATATCACACACAACCACAATTCTCTTTCACTGACTCAACAAGGTGTAACCAAGTGCACCATCAGAAGGAAGAAACACTGATCTGAAAGAAAAGGAATTTTATCTCTTTTTAACATTCATTCAGAATATTAAACCTTTACGTATGAAGAAAAAAGAGAACTGAAGATTAACATACTGATTTTCAAGCTTTGAACGACTGTATGTGTTGTCTCAGTCTAAAAAAGAATACTATGAAATACTTAGGTGCAGACTGACTCATTTACTTGCAACTGCTTGCCATTTTAATGGTAATAGGACAAAGTTATTTTTACCTGTACATCTCCTCATACTATGTAACACAATCCATCCATAAGGTTCTATAGCAGGAACTTGCCGACAGGTTGTTTTAAAGCAGCTGGTGCTTGGGTTTGTGTTCCATCTGCATTAGTATCTAGTGACCTGTCCAGGGTGAGCCCTGTCTCTCACCCAATGTTACTTAGGATAGGCTCCAGCCCCCCACCACCCTACTGGGAATAAGCATTGGGACAATGGATGGATGGAACATTTGTGACCTGTGTCTGCTCTCACTGCACATTTCCTGTCTCAGTAGCCTGAGAACATGCTTTTTGTTTATCTTTGTCCATTGCTTACATTGCTTTTTTTGGTCAAAACAAGTATAAAGGGGGTCAAGTTGGAACAAAATCTGTTACAATGTAAAAAAAGACTTTGAAGAGACCTTTAGATGTGCAAAAGTCTCGAGCTTCCCGTCATTTCTTCACATATTTCCCATTAAAATGGGAATAAGTGCTAGAAGTTGTTCAGACTAGTACAAACATAGAAGCTTTAGCAGAATTTAAATTCTGACTAGCTTGCAAGGTTTTGCAACCCCTATAAGTTGTCTTAATGATTATGTTCCACAGCTTTCTTAAAGGACATTCCAAAGTTTTTGTGTGGATTTGAACTGCCTCCTGTTCTCTTCTGGATCACATAGTTTTTTTTAGGTCTGGGCTGGGGTCAGGGGAGGGTTGCTGATTCCAGACCTGTTGCCAATGAAATGCCTTTCAGAAATGTTTGTCATACTGACTGCTCTTTGGCTCTTTTTTAGATTTAAGAAAAGAAATGGGAATTAATTTTGCTTCTGGCGACAAAGTGCCCGAAGATGCAATTAAATAC